ATAAACAAACAACTTTAACGGATACTGCCATTAAATTCTCACCGCAACCGAGAAATTGATACCGTCTGGTCATGTTGGAGCAGCTGGGCATGAAAATGGACACAAGCAAGGCCAAGGTTGTACTAATATTAGCCTAATATCAAATTTGCTGCCAGTATTATATCATATAGACATTATTTGTGTAGATGTAGCTGTGAAATTGAAATGACAAAGTGTCAGACAGTGATATTTTGGAAACAAAATCATCTTGCCATGTTGTAACTCCAAACGGAGGAGGTGCCTTGTGAAAGCCAGATGTTACCGTCCAGTGACTGCCCTGCTGACATGAACACCTGTTTTGTCACGGTGTGTTGTTGTCATTTCAAAAGGATCCTATCCACCCTCATTTGCATACATGTAGGTAGAAGTACCTGGTATTCACCCCAGATCAGATGGTACAATGTATGTAGCCCAGGTAGAGCACAATAAATCTTGAAATATTTGCAATGTTTTGAATTGTATTACTACTATACTATGGAAAAAAATACCTCTTTTCCCTCTATATGCAGATATGCAATAAAGGAATTTACAGTAAAACACTGCAAGACCTCCAGAGGGTGGTTGGAAAATTCTCAGGATAATTTAAAAGCACATTATTATTAAGAAGCTTTTCTTTTACAATATTTTATGTCAAGTCTTTGATGTACGTGTATACTCATACTGGTGGTAGAACCGTTGCAGTGTTGCTATATAACTTATATAAGCTCATGGTTTCACTTTTAGAGTTTCATTCTCAGTTGTGTATAAATTTAATACCAAAGAAAATCATGATTGCACGAAATGATATTTCCTTTACTCATGAGGACTTTATATTTAATACTCAGTTAATATCTTGGATTCTTGTCCCCCCATACACTGATCCTAACTTGTCGCTATCCCTAACATTGTGCCATTAGGCTATTATTTCTACTCTTGCGTGAGAACATTTGTGATGGAGCGCTAGTGGGTGGATTGTTAAATCATGCATGAGTTTAATGCAAAAATGCTCTTAACTGTATTTATACTTTTTAACACAACAATGTGCTACAGTACATGTTACTGTACTGTGTCTACAAAATGACAAATTTTACTTAGGCAATTGGATTATGTTAATTTTTTATGATTTGATTAAGTGAACATTTATATTGGAATATGTAGCTTGCAACTGAGATCTCAAAACATAAATATTTGTTTATAACTATATCACTAAAAATTACTGAAGATTCCACAGAAATGTGCATTGTCTTTTAGATTAATTTAGCTGTTATGATAGTATATGCCACAACAGTACCTCAGGAAATGCTCTTTACGTATGCTGCAATGCAGAACTTAATGTCTTCAAGGAGATTTATATATTATTCATGACCATTGGGATCATGGTATCTAAGTGTAATGCAGAACTTATGTCATAGCTTTAAAAGGGATAGTCTGACACAAACTTGTACAAACCACAGTTTTTCACCTGTATTTTTCAGGAAATTGACTTCACTGGATTTCTACAACGTTGAAAAATGTTTCTACGACTGGAAACCAGCAGAACTTTTGTGTAGATAGCTCCTGTAGTAGACGTGAGGACACCGTGTTACAAACCAAACTTCTCAGGAATTCACCGGGGAGAGAGCCGACTGGCACTTTGTCGTGCACAAGACTTTTTTTCTGGAGGACAGTAATAAACGTCGCGTGCGAGAAAACCTACCACCATGAATCGGTACCAGCTGATGAAGCAGGTCGGAGATGGAACGTACGGCAGCGTGTTGCTGGGAAAGAGCAACGAGACGGGTGAAATGGTCGCTATCAAAAAGTGAGTTGAGAGTTTCCTTTTTTACTGAATATCTTGGGTTTTGACAAATAGCGCAAACACAAAGAACGGTCATATATGCTTGATGAGCACCTTTAGTAGGCTGTTAGTATAGGCTGTTAGTATCTTATAACTTATACTATAGTCCTAACTTATAGAAAAAAATGAAAAGTTATAGGAAAATTCACCTGCAACAAACTCTGACTCGTGAAGGAGAAAAGCCCTATCCTTTCAAAAGGTCATCTTGTCTTGGAATCCTATAGTATGTTAACTATGGACCATGGTTGTCAGAAATTTACTGGACTACATGTAGGCATATGTTATCCTAATGTGTAAGATTGCACAGTTCTTGGGATTTCATTTCAATTGAAAACCCCAGGTTCAATTGAAAGAAATGAAAACGCCACCCCCATACAATCCAATATTTACACCTACACCAGCAACACATACATGTGTGTTGTGTTGTTACATCCCATCTGTCACTGTATCCTGCAAAAATAGGTCACTACATGTGCTGACCAAGGTCGCTTTAAAGGTCACTCTCAGCATAGACATGCTATAAAGTGTTGACGTCTGGATGTAATAAATTGTTAGTTATTTTGCGTCACATGAGCAGAGAGAATGAAATTCGTGTTCCAGTTTTGTCATCTTATTGTTCAACATCATACATCTTGTCAGTCAAAAAATGTGTCTCATACATGTTTTAGTGATGATTTTAGTTTCTATAAATTATAGTTTAATGGAAAAGTGATTTTGTCACTTCTCTTCTGAGCTGTACCACAGTGTCAACTCCAGCTAATGGTTATTTATGTGCATGTTTTGTTAAACTAGAGACTGGACTTTAATCCTAAGTGGTGATATGCTAGACAGCTAGTTCAGGATTTGTCTGTAACAGATAACAATCTCCCCTTATGAAACAGCAAGTCTCGTCACAAGTGCTATACTTTATTATATAAAACTATCAAGATTTCACATTCATTGTGATATTTTTTGTCTTTGTAAAACACTATTTTTAGGTGTGCAAACATGTCTCGTCAGTTAAATGAAGAGGAAATGAAATGAAAAAGTGACCCTACTACTACTATTTATATGGCATTTGACACTCAAACTTGTACTTTGGAACTACTCAGTACATACTAGTAGTACATCATATATTTTTGCTCACAATGAATATGATATTACATTAAATATCTACTGTGCATTGTCACACAGGAATTTATGCACACCTTTCTTCATAACTACATAAGTCTGTATTCATTGCAATAGTCTAAAGGTTTCAACACATGATAACATTGTACCTAGATTATTGCTCTGTAAGCACAGTTGTAAATTTTCAACAATTGTTCAAATGCACAATGATGTAACTCTGTCTAAATGTTGACATCTTTTTCTTGCTGCTGAACTGTTACCGATACAAATTCTGGTGCCAATCAACTACTTTAGAATGCTGATTCTATTTTTATTTTGTTTCTGCAGAATGAAGAAGAAATTTTATTCATGGGAAGAGTGTATGAATCTTAGAGAAGTCAAGGTGAGTTCAACATAGCTTTTGGTATTTCAAGTTGTTTGCTGTTTGAATTATTGCAAAAAACAATTTGTACAAATCAAGATGTAGCTCCTGCTAGTTGACTATCACGTTGATATCTTGTCAAAATGCTAACTCAACAGTATCATTACATTATTGCTTAGCCAGTTCTTTAAGGTCTCATGAGTCTGTCCTCTTCTTCCAGTCTTTGAAGAAACTGAATCATGCCAATGTTATAAAACTGAAGGAAGTCATCCGAGAGAACGACACTCTATATTTCATCTTTGAATACATGAAGGAAAATCTGTACCAGCTTATGAAAGATAGGTAAGTGTTGACTGTGTCAGTTACACACCCTGTCCACCAGAGGCTGGGACTGCTGAGTGACCAAACATGCAATGTCTCTAAGTATAATGCACTTCTGTGTTAGTGTATATGTAAACTGTGCATACATGGGGGGTGGTGACTTATGTAACCTGGCAGATAAATGTGAATGTAGGCTAGATTCTGTAGTGTTGGAATTTTTTTGCGGGAGTGGTCTCTCTCACTGACAAAGAAATACATGTTCGTACCATGGGGTATGTCTGACTTCTAAGTCTTTCAGACAAATTCCTTTCTCCTACATGGTTTTCCCTTTTCAAAAGTGAAGTATCCTTGGCTCAGGGGTACAATGAAAATAAATACTTGTCCTTGCCAACAGGACAGACTGTTTACTTTTCGACAGGAGTGAAGGGGAGGGAAGTAGGGCCAGTTTCCCCCCTAGTTACAGAAAAGGTTCTATGAGGGGTATTAGGTGGAACAGCAGCTATTTGTTGTTTTTAGATTTCTAAAAATGTTTGCCACCTTTGATCCTCTCCTCAACAAATTGGCCCCTCTTGCTGATGGGGCTAAAGGTCAACTACAACAAGAGTGCTGATTGGCTTGTCCTCTCATGGGTGCACCGCTGCGATTGGCCAAAACAAAGAATGTTGACCGGTTGCCAGGGGCAACCTTAAGGACATAATGGTATTTGTGCCTGAACAAATAGAAGGGGTTTTCTTTGGTAGAGGGTGTGGATTCAGGGGGACCATGTAGGCTTAAAATCAACTACAAAGAGGAGTGCTGACAAAAAAGTCTGTACTTAGCCCAACAATTCTCTTGAACCGTCCAATATAAGTCCTATTTCAGTGTTATTTACACCTTTAGAAATAGGAAACTTTTGCAGTGGAAGGAGTGAATGAGGTCTGAAGTTCACTCAAGGGTGCCAGAGTACACACTGTAGGAGCCAAGAAAAACATGGCAGCGTTTGTTGGCTTTTGCTCCTGATTGATTGATATGGCCCTGGGCATGTTGCCCCAGGCTTAAACCTGTCTGTGGTTCTGACAGACTCAAACTGATATTCTTCCAGCTTAGGGAAGCTTAAACCCAAGGAAATACCAATATTCAATAGCTGCACATGGTACTCGGGTATATAGGAAAGATGGTCCAATGAAAACTGTAGTTTACAGTCAAAACTGCCCAAGAAGACCACTGAGGGGACTGATAAAATCAGGTCTATGTGGACAGGTGGCCGTACAATAGACAGGATTCTTTGTGCTTTAATCAATGGGGAAAATTATCCAGTGGACCACCAAGAAGTGGCCACAAAGCCAGGTGGTTGTTATATAGAGATGGTCACCTCTACAGGGTTGACTGTAAATATAGTTACCACATCAGATGGACATATCTTAGTGTATCTGTATGGGAGCAAAATAAAACAGTGGACTGTGACCATATTTACAGTTAAGATAGGTATATTGCATCTTAAAGATAACAATTTTGACAATTTAGCACCTTCTTTAGGTACACAGTTCTGCCTAAAAATCAATTCATGGAGAATGCAATGGAACTATGTGATCAGCGCTCAAATGAGTTTTTCCATTTTTTGCACCTGATTTTTTAGGGACAAGTTATTTCCGGAGTCGGTGATACGGAACATCCTGTACCAGATCACACAAGGGATGGCCTTCATGCACAAGCACGGCTTCTTCCACAGAGACATGAAGCCAGAGAACTTGTTATGTATGGGACCTGAGCTCATCAAGATCGCAGACTTTGGACTGGCCCGAGAAATCCGCTCCAGACCTCCGTACACAGACTACGTATCAACAAGATGGTACGTGGCGCAGGGTTGAGATAACATTGTCATAATGTCATACACTCGGGACGCTGTGTACGTCATACGCTATTAGCTGTATGTTGGTACAATAGATGTAGTAGATATCAGCATCATTTGTGTTACCAAGGATTTTATATATACAATGTGTTTAAGGGGTGGGACTGCTTTCTCAAATATTGAATGAAAGGAAAAGTGAAGAAAAGTGTGGGTAAAACATGCCTTTCAAAATGGGTGACTTATCTTTGTTGGGTAAAATGTACTTAAACGTTCCTTAACACGTGTACTAACTTGTGACATTGCAACACGTTTCCATCACGTGTGCCAGCCACTGACAAGTCAATGATGGAAAGTTAAGGGGGCTTTTGACTAAGACAGTATTCAAACTTAACATGCCCAAATTCCGCCAGCCTTGAGGGAGAATGAGAAATTATTTCTTCATTCACGCATATGATAATGGATGGTTTACCTTTGCGTAATAACACATTGACAAACAATTGTTTTACTTGGGGATACAGAAAAAGTATTGAGGGAATGTTTTTTTTTGTAGCTTTGATTATTTCCTTTTGTGAAATGTCTTTCAGGCAATAACAAGAGGATCTTAAACCTGTAGTGTTGTAAACAAACTTATGAAGTTATACTCAAAAAAGAGAAATTTTAGCAGCATTCCTCATTAGCTATGCAAGTGTATGCAAATGTACATGTATGTACGTTGGGCTTGCTGTAATGACTTTATTTTCCCAACCAGGTACAGAGCACCAGAAGTATTGCTAAGATCCCGGAACTACAGCTCACCGATCGACATGTGGGCCATCGGCTGTATCATGGCAGAGCTGTACACCCTGAGACCTCTCTTCCCAGGCAGCAGTGAGGTGGACGAAATCTTCAAAGTCTGCCAAGTTCTGGGCACGCCTAGCAAGGTACGAGATGAAATTTTTGTGTTATTACCCCTAGGTATGAAAGTATTGTTTTGAAAATACTTGCATGCAGTTGACCTACATCTATTCTTCAGCTTGACGTTGACATTTATCATTTGCCATCTGCAGTCTGACTGGCCGGAGGGTCACCAGTTGGCAGCAGCAATGAACTTCCGCTTCCCTCAGTGTGTACCGACCAACCTGAAAACCCTCATCCCTAATGCCAGCAATGAGGCGATCCAACTCATGAGAGACATGCTGCAGTGGGATCCCAAGAAGAGACCAACAGCTGCACAGGTAGGGATGTTCCTGTACCATACATATTTTTTTCAGTGTAATCGTCTACATTTGTGTTGTGTGTCTGTTGCTTGTCCAAAACACATGTATTGATTCTTACTGCATGTTCCCAGGTAACCTAATTATCTTTACAGGTTTACTGATTCAGAAGTTACGAAAGATTGTCTTTTTGTTAACAAGTGAGAAAAACAAAGGAGCTGTGCTCTATGATTCGTATGAAAATGTTCAAGTGCTGCAGAGTTTGTGAATTTTGACTCTAACCTGTGATGATGATGTTGTTATTTTCAGTCCCTGAGATACCCGTACTACCAAGTCGGGCAAAATCTGGGACCCAAGATGACCCAGCAGCAGCTGATCGCACACCAAGGTGGCACGTCTCCTGCCAAACAACCGCTGAAGGAGATCCAGCCTCCGCAACAACATCAGCATCACCACGCTGCTGATGTAACACTGCCAGCCGTAACCAATCAGAAGCAGCCGGAACCTGTGGCCGCAAAGGCTGCTGGGAGGAAACGATGGGGAGCGCAGCCGGCCGACAGTTTTGACGATCTAGATGACGAGTTCGACTTTCTGTCAAGTTACTCCAAAAAGGTTTGTTTATTAAACAGTCTGGAAACTCTGTACTCTTTCCTTTCCAAAGAAGTCTTGACTGTAGGTATAGTTTGCAGTAGCTGAGCTGTGGGCTTCAGCACATGGGTGGGGAAGATTGACAGGCAAATTGACAGTAGGTCAAAGGTCTCAGAGTCAGGCTGGGAGCCAGCAGGAGTGAGAGATTCATATGGGGGAATTCAGGAGGCCGAGGATTACATACTTCACAGATGTCTGAAACTCTGATTTCTTGTTTTGTAGAGAAAATGATCGCCATGTTTGACTAGGAGTGAATTGAGTAATGATTTTACAATTGTTTTTCTACCCTCTCTAGAAAATGCTTCAGCCTACAGTGAGGAAACCTGTCTATATGAAAGGAAAGGTGTGGCCATTACTTGTGCTGCACATTTCAGATTGATTTTCTTGGCACACTCCCATCAGACTAGCCTTTTTTTGCTATTGTTTGAGTTTGGGATGCCTGCATGCAAAAATTGTGTGTGTGGTTCTGTTCTGATGATCTTGATTTCCAGGTTTTTGTGTTGTTGCACATTGCAGCACTGAGCGCACTAAGACTTGTGGTGTACTTTTGAGGAACACAGTGCCTTTTAGTTGTAGTCCTCTGTTGGAGGATGTATTTTTGTCAGTGATTGTTTAGAAACCTCAGGTGAAAGTTAGTTTGTAGCTGTTACAACAGTGAATCCGTTCTTGTCTAGAGGTACATGTACATTTATTTTGAACAGTGATTGGTAAAGACATCCAACATTTGTACTGTTGCCTGTATGCTTTGCTTTTTTTTCTAGCTTATTGTTGGCTAATCACCAGTGCTGCCTGCAGTCATCAGCCATACATCATGTGAACATGTTGGAGTGCTGTTTTTGTTACATACATGAATAACATTACACTTGAAATCAGTGGTCTTTAATGGCCGATTGGATATATTTTATGGTTGTTGTTAACCTTCGGCCTATTAAGATAGCTGGCGCCAAATTTGTACTGGTTATGTTGTTAGTCAGCAGGGAGAAGGTGAAAACCCATTGTAGCACTTCAGGTTTGTCTATCCAAAGTCTAGCTGGCAGACAAAGCCCGTTGACATCTCTGAAGCTTGTTTGTTTCTGCTTCTATTAACTATGTATGTAAATTGTTTCTTCTAATGACCACAATTTGTAGCACTGATATTTATCTCAGTCTGACATAACCTTTTGCCTCTCTCTATCTTTAGCCCTCTGTTCACAAGAAGAAAGAGGACGACTCTACGACGGAACTGGACTCCATTTTTGGGAGTGCCAAGCCCTCAGCGATACACGTCAACACGAAGCAACAGCCGCCAGACTCTGGGAGGTCCACCACCAGGTCATCAGCCAAGCAGCATTACTTCAGACAGTCCAGATACATGCCAGGTATGGCAGCTTGTAATGTCTATACACAGAAGCAACTAGAGTTGGTAAGGTGGTCTTGTGGTTTGTGCTGTTGATTTACCTGTAGAATCTAAAGGTTCTGGGTTCAAATCTCTCACAGGCCCCAATGTTGTGTCCTTGGGAAAGGTAGGTAACCATCTATTTCCTCACTCGACACAGGTGAAAATGAGTACCTAGCTTTAGATAATGCTGTCCCCTCTGATGGGATGTAAAGCTGCAAGTCCCATGTTTGAAAAGATCCAACCAAACATGGAAAGAGTTGAGGTCCATCCTGGAGTGAGTGGATCAGACTTTACAGTCCAGTCTTACACAGCTTGTACTTACTCTGCAAAACTGGTGTGCTGTAATGCCTAAAGGTAGTTTGCCAGTCATGCGAAATGTAGACAAAAACAAAGTTTGAGTTACCTATCAGGTACTTCTAGTATCAGCAAGGATACAACAGTTACTTTAATGCCATAACATTAATATCTCTAATATGCATTCATGATATTTTACACACTGAAAGTACATGTACATGTATACTGTAATGCCTGAGTGACATCTGAAGAGGCACATAATCTCAATCAAACTGCTATGACAAGTATGGAAACAAAGTCTCCATAAGAATGGCAAGGAGGTTGCTAAAGAAACTTTTCCTAACACATCAGCTGTGTTTGTTGGCTATCAAAGTGTCCTCTACACATTACGGTGGGTTTGTTATCTTAAGGACTCATCATATTTACTCCTTGACCCAGTTAGATCTAATGCAGTCTACCTGCTTGTTAAGACCAGGTGTACTTAAGTACCGGTTACCACAAACCCACACGATCGCCGTCAGCAAAGATACGGGTGATTTAAAAGCTCTCGAGATGTCTTGACTTGAGGAGTGTATCACTTTAAGACAGGAAGTATAGCCAATGGTAGGGCTGACCTCTCTCTTGTATAGCCTTGTCCAGCAGTCAAAACAACTCTACAGGATTTGATGATAATGTGAGAACAGCACTACAAAGTCAATAGGATGCAGCTGTCCTAGCTATACTTCTATCAGCACTTCCACTGTTCAAGCCCCTAGCCGACACGTCTAAGTCGGGAGAATTGGAAACATCTTAATCCTGTTGGTTTATGAATATGTGCTAACATATAGTGTAGGAGGCTGTGATGACTGGTTTCCATAGTGACATAGAATCCTGACTCCCAGTAGACTAATTTTCATAGTGATAAACAATCCTCCAGTTGGTACTTATAGAAATGGCAGTTAGAGGTGTATGACTGTGACAGAAGCTCTCGGGAAGGAGGCCTAATCAGCCCCTGATGGCGAGAGATTGTGTAACAGTGTAACAGCAGCATTCCCATGTAGGTAAATGGTCCACAATTTCACAGGCATGGAACTTTAAAGACTTGGTAATGTATACAAGTCAGAATATGATAAAAGACGAAGAAGTAAAAACACTGAAAAACAAAGATGGTTGTATCACCTGCCCATTTTCCCCAATAACTGTGCTGTAGAGACTATGAATTTTTTATCTGTGTTTTTATTTAATCCTAAGCATGTTGTGCTTTGTTCCAGGGATGAACAGTACGAAGGGGAGTGCCAACCAAGAGGCCAGCCTGTTTGGGAACAGTCCGTACCAGAACAAGCCCTCTGTCACCGGCATGAACGTCAACAGAACCAACTACAATGCGCTTGGTGAGCCTCTCAGTGCATACGGCAGGGTCCCCTTCTTAGGTACAAGAAGGAATCATCATCATTTCAGCATGCAGTGGCTTCTCCTCGGCAGTTTGGTTTGCACTGCACGGCAAAAAAGCATGATGATAGCTTTGTTATTCAAGTCATATCTAAGGGCTGTGCCATTAGAAAAATTGAATGATGTGGTCCTTAGAATGCCATATGTACATTTCCAGTGCCATCTGTGTTTAGTATTAACTTGACATCGCTGTGGACCTCACCACATAAAATCACCTGTTTACTGGATCAGATCAAAATCATGTTGTACTTGATAGCCCTGAATGGTCTCCCTAGCTTCATCTTATGTCCTAGCCTGCTAAATGAAATGGGGATGGGGCAAATGCTCCTGACACCTGCTAGCACTCAGTCTCAGCACTTTTGCATGTCAAAATACAGATTATAAGTCACTTGCACAGTTCCCACTCATAGTATTCTGAGACACCACAGTGCAGTTACATGTACCACAGTATCATATATACATGTAGCTGTTAAAAACAAGGACAATTTCCACATGATCTTAAAGCATTTTAGGTATGTTCCTTTAATGTATCTAAAGGTGAAGGAAGCCTTCCAGATCTACATATCAAAGAGCATGGCTTAATTACATGTAATGGAAGGAAAACAACTGCCACAAAAGGCTAATGAATTTGTCCTTCTCCTCCTTCCCCACAGGTGGTGCTGGTTATGGCCGAGACAGGACGTATGATGGTGGGTACATACCATCCTTCAGCAAGAAGGAGGTGGGGTCAGCTTCTCAGAGAGTGCAGCTCCCAAACAATGCTGGGACAAGTAAGTGGACATCTCTGGTTATGTAAACTCATAACAAGGCTGTGGATTATTTAGTCTAAATGTTAACAGTGGTCCAAATACATAGCTGTTTTTGAATACATAATTTACCATTTGTGTGAGTGGGAAAGCGCTATTAATGGCATTGTTGAGATGCAACAGAAAGCAACCTGACATGTTTGGATTGTTTTGCTACAATGTTTGTGTTGATATTTTCGTACAGACTACAGCCAGTGGAAGGCGGCACGTGCCCAGCCAGGTGCGTTCACCTACCAGCCAACCAGGAATCCATCAGGACTCCGACATGTCAACCCTATCAGTGGGAGAACAGACTGGGCCGCCAAGTAAGTCTGAGCCTATTATGACAATATAGTGTCCCACAAGGAGTCATAATAGGACCCCTCTTTGCACAGTGTGATATGGGATGGCCACATGGTGAATATTTTTTAACCTACTCCCTGTTGTCAAACCAGTACAAATTTAGTAACAAAAGGCTGCCTAAGCATGCTGAAGGTTACATGTGGTCAAGAGGTGAAGAGACTGAGTCTAAAGGTGTTGCAGAATATCTTGTATGTTTAGGTCAATCTCACAAATACATTAAACACAGAAGTCATCCTCTTCTTTCATTCATTCCTTCATGTACATCTCGTCTTACCTTTTGAATCAAAAGGTGCAAACAAAAAGTCTCTGTTCTGTCATTGCCATACTTACATGTTCATGTTTCCCTGTCACTATGATGGCAAAACACCAGAAACCTGAATATGCTAACATTAGCTTTATCTATTTACACCTCAATTTCAGGTATTGTAGAGGAAAAGCAACATGAAAGCATGATGGCATGAATAAAGTCCAACAAGTTGTAAGAAAATTCTTCGATTTGTACGAGGTGTACTTCTTGTTGTCACCACACTTGTGTATAGTTGGTGGAGAATGCATGACACTTTGGGTGCATAACGCCAAGGCTATTTCAGGAAAAAGCAAAACAAAATAAGGAGCAAGATGGCTAAAAGTTGATGGGGAAATTTGACCATTTCATAGAAAGGGATAGAATAAAAGCTGCCATCTACACCCTATTTTGTTCTTTCTTGAAGAGCTCCTGTGAAGTGAGTTGGGATGATAATGATACATGTACGGCATTTCATATCCATGCACTATTACAACTGTACATTTTCACATACTTTTTGTGAGGGTACATTTCCCTATAATCTTCATTCTGTAATCTGGTGTGCAAACATTTACTTTCTTTGCATACATGTACTTTTCTTACCTTTTCATGACATAATGGCATTGCCACTTCATACAATTAATGTTACGGTGAACAATTAATGTGAAGTGCAGTGTACAATTAATGCGAAGGTCCCTGCTACATTTCTCCATTTTTCATCTTGGAATTGATATTGTCAGATTACAAAATTCCTTTCTTACTGACAAAAGGTCACATCAGCACCTCCACAGACATACCTGTACGTGTACGTCATGTAACTGTAATTTTTTTTGTCTAAACATGTGCCTTTCCTTATGTTTCTACAGGTATGGTGGTCATCGGTAGCAGGAGCTGGCTAGTCACTCTCCCCATGACAAACAACTTAGTGCAGTACAAACCTGTATCATCTTAAGCAGTCATGTGAAAAAAAAAAAGGTCCAATTTTTAGAAGTGTCATCACAAAGGTATAATCTCAATTCTTAAGCCAATCAAGCTTTGTGAGATAGTCCTCAAAACTGGCAGTGTACATGTATGCACAGTTGTGTGAACAACACATTATTAGTTGTCATACAAAATATGCTTCTCAAAAAGCTGAAAATGAAATGGGAAATTGTTAAAGCATCATAGCACTAGCTACAATTGTGCATAGATAATAGTAAAGGCACTCAAAATCAGTTGGTTCATCAATTGAGTGTAAGCATGCCACAAGTACATTGTATACATGTTACATCCTTTTATTACCTAGTGGCAAATCTGTTAGAAGCCTTAAGCACAAAGATAATTGATTTTAAAATCAAATTTCAGATACTCACTCTAATGTCAAATTATCAATGTGTTGCTTAAGCAAATATGTGTATGTTTTTCATTGTGTATTTTGTGAAGTTGCACTTTATATAGGAGTGCAAAATACTGAAATGTTAACTCTACATAGATATGATGTGGTTTTACCGAATTCTGTACATTTCTCAGAAGAGAAATGTCCATTTTTTTGGACTTAGGACTTGTATTTCTCCAGGCAGAGACAGATAATGTGTACAGCTGTATAGAGTTCAACAATGTCACCAGCAACATAGTGCCTCAGAACACAAGCAGTACTAGTGAGGGCCCGGTCACAAATGTTGTACGATTAGTCAGATTGCAAACTAAGGTTTTTTTTTTGTTCATATATTCTGCAAAATTCATCTTTTTTTTTGATGAAGGAGACTTGTCTTGGATCTTTGTTGGCTATTGACACTGTCACAGCCTGCTTGAAAATTCTATGGCATCAAAATCGTACGACATATGTGACCGTGTCGTTATACTTCTGATTTGTACAATTTCACATGAGAGTTGAAACAAATTAGGGACCAGTTTTTACATGTGAAAACTTGAGAATGCAGCTATGTTTGTAGGTGTGCCCATGTTTTCCTCATCAGAGTATTTTTGTCTTTCCACTAGGAGATGCAAGTGCTATGATGTATATGTAGCACACAATACCTTGTAAATGCATGATGTTATTGTGTAATATGATGTCCAAGGCTATAGGAGGATGTAAGATTGGAGACTGTAGTTTTAAAACTGACAAATGTGTAATTTTACACTGTGCAATAGATCGTCACCAGAATCCACCTCACTGTATCATGTCTTAAAGGTTGTAAATGACTATTTTAACTTACTTTTTTCTCCTCTTGTTGACCCAAAAAGTAGAAAAAAAATTTGTGATGTAAATGTACATGTATGCCCACGGTACAACTCGTTTTTAAAGGTTGTAAATTTTCTTTGTTAACATGGGGTTCTTATACAGATATATTTTGTGTATCCTCCATGCTGTTGTATAAACATTGATATCATGAATGTCTACCCAGGCCCTTGATAGGCTCATGTGAACCTTAAAGTGGGGATAGCCCTATGTTCCAACACCCCTATGTTCTGACACCCCTACATTTATGTTCCCACACTCCTATGTTCATACATAATGAGAATTAAGTCTACAGTTGTAGGAACTTACATGCAGGTTGAGTGGTGGAAACATAGGAGTTTCAGACTTGTTGGAGGAAGGGTTTTTATGTCTACTTTTAGCTCAGTTGGCCTAATTTTCAATATTAGGATATTGATATTTCAGCAGAGTTCATGTTAAGAACCATCACATCTTCAACCAACAAGAAAGGGCTGCAGTTTTTCTTCAGACGCTAGGGTACAGTGACATACTTCTTGTGATTGTAGTAAAATATGTTACGTATACGTTTTCTAGATTTATGTATGATACCTTTCTTGGATGTAAATTTGTATTGTTTAATTTACCGATATAAAGACTTTCGTTGCTGTTGCCTGGATGACACGATAAGAAACTACGTGAACATGTATACGGTATGTTGTTAGAAACACAGCAAATGTATAAGTGATCATCCTGTTTATTTCCCGAATTTGTGATATAGGTTGTTTAGATTACTGAGAATCTCCAAGTTAAAAAAATGAAAGCGTAGTTTCCTCTCCCTGCTGTTTCATGTGCTTTGGTGTATTTCTTAGAAAACAAAACTGATAACGAATTCTGGGCAATCGAGGGCAAAGAAAAATACCGTCTGTGGACAGCTAGACGGTAAATGATTATATAAGAGAGAAGAAAAACGTACTAGATGTAGTAACATTGCTGCAGTACGACAGAAAGCTGCAATGGGGCCATTATCTTATGATTTCTTAATTTTGCCCATACTTGACACACCAAACATTACAATCGATGCGCATGCACGACGTCTCGCGTTACACAGTTCACAGATACACACACAGACCCGACAACATAACCTTGGCGAGGGTACTGTAATACATTGTATAACCTGCGGCATTGGAATGTTTTGACGTGCATGCACTCCTCTCTGTATATACGTTAGGTAACGCGTTCTCCCCTGAATCTGTATGCTTAAGACACAGCACTAGTGCCATACACGTTGGCAGCGAGCTCCAGGCCAGGCCAATCAGTAAATTGCGGTGACCCTTCCCCTGTATTTCTTGTTTGGCAACTTTTCAAATTGCAGTGTGTTGGACGGCAGACATGTTTGGGGGGCTACCGTAGAGGTTTCGGCGCTAACTGATTTCCGAGCGCTGGCTTCAGTACATCGCGTAGTCTTGGCAGTTGGTACTTCGAATCCGACCATAGCTAAAATGTTCTTGGTCCCTTTAGTTCTACACAGATTTGAAATCAGAGACTTGAAATCAAGGAGACAACAATTATAACACCTGCGACCGATCACCCCACTGAGACTCCGGACTGGACCGGCTTCCGTCAACACTTTCAAAGCTCCGCGGCTCAAAATTTTGGCATCTTACACGGTTTTGGTTCTGAGGGAGCAATATGAGGAGGCTGACCTGGTATAGCTTTGTGCGACTATTTCATAGGATCAAGGACAACCTTGCCCTTGTAAGTAATGAAGGTAGCCTCTCTAGAATTTCTTGGAGGTAGTGCAACAGTTGTACGATTGAAAGTGGCACGAAGGCTGCTGACGTGGTTTTCATGTGTGAATCTGCTTAACACTAAATGCATGTAAGCCGCTGGTTACTCGCGATGTGTTTGCGCGGTACCACGTCAACTATAACGGGCTGTCATACCGTTCATTTCATTCATTTTATGTTGGTTACGGAGTTCTCATGATACACATGTACGTGCTAGGAAATTAACCGTTGTGAAATGAACAGAATTTTAAATACTTTAAATTATTCTACAACAGATATTTCATGTCACCTGAGGCCAGTTGTTTTAGCCTTACTAGACGCTCGGTTTTAGCCTTACTAGACGTAAGGGCTCGGTCACATTCATCGTACGATCGTCGTACGATTTCAAACAGAAAGCATTTTTGAAACAATCATGGACGTGATGTACAAAATCCAGCTGCCTTGTTACGGAAACGGCTGTCTTTGATCCATGTCGACGGTTGGTTCTGTCACAACTGCAACCTGCTTGAAAATTCTACGACCTACGACGAATGTGACCGCGCCGTCGGTTGCGTAAGAACCGACCTTGACGCTGACGATCAGTGTTCAAAATTTACAGGTCACTTCCTTTCGTCATCTTTGGAAGACTAATAGACCCTTGGTGGTGTTGGTCGGTGGGATGGCATTGCTGTTGGCCCTGTACACGTACCTGCTGCTGATCATAGAGGGGAATTACAAAGAACGACAAAAGCTGTTGATAGCTATACGGAACATGGCCGATGGTGCCTCTCTTCTGAACAATCAACGGACAATGCATGAACATAAAGAAAGGTCTTCGAATTTTCCTATCATTACTATGGCCCCCTTTCCAATAGACGGCGATCGCATTGAATGGCAGCCACCTGATTGTGAACCCAGGCAAAATTTCGCATTCGTAAAAGTTCACAAGGCGGGGTCCACTACAGCTCAGAGTATCTTTCTACGCTACGGCTACGTTCACAACCTGACCGTCATGCTGCCTGGAGGGAAGAATCCTGCGTCTTTCTCTTGGCCTAACCTCCCCTCCCCCGGGGACGCCTATCCCGTGAGTGGAGGGGTGTACAATATCCTCACCCATCACGCCAGGTACCACCCGGAGACCCTCCGCGCCAGGATGCCGCCTGACACGATTCGTCTGGCCATCATGAGACACCCCCTCGACCACCTAAAGTCTATGTTCAATTTCATCCACCTCAATACTAAATACAATCTCGACCCAATGAACCCGATTCAGAACTTCCTGGAAAACCTTACCGACTACGCGGAAATCGACAGTAAATTCTACGACGGCCGCTCGCCAACTAGAAATTTCCAGTCCTTCGTTTTAGGCTTCGATCAGATGAAGGATTTCGGCGATGAGCAGATAGAACAGCAATTCAGAGACAGGACGACAGAGGTACCATTTGTCATGATACTTGAACATCTTGACGAGTCCCTGGTTGTCCTCAAACGGCTGATGTGTTGGGTTCTCACAGACATTCTCTACGACTGGACCGCGAGAAACTACCGAAGATTCTATTACAAGTCATCCAGCTTGAGCCAGCTGGCCATAGACAACCATCACAAGTGGAGTTCTATAGACTACGCGCTTTACGAACACTACAACAGAACACTCTGGGAGGAAGTCAGAAAGGGCGGGAAAGACTTCGTGTTGGAGCTGGAACACTTTCGAATGATGAATAGTAAGGTGAACGAACATTGTAGGATCGATCCGAAAGGTAGCAGGAGTTTCCCGGCGACCAAGTGGAATGCGGCATGGGCGGTAGATGCTCAATTTTGTAGGCAACTGAGACAAGAGCGGTTCATCTGGGACTGGAAACTGTCGATGAGACAAAACGAAAAGATACGTAGGGAAAGACTCAATCCTTAGCCAATGCGAGATATTATATGTGATATGTTGAACGTTATTCTGTCCGATTTCTAGCAAACTTAGGGGTAGTATGTAATTGAAACATAATGCACTAAAAAAAGAGTTACCGGAAATAGCACGAGGAAGGCAGGGAAATGATTACTACATGTAGTATTATTATTGTCATTATGTCAGCGAATGATTGTACAGAAAGTAAGTAAATCATATCGTACGAAAAATCGTAAGCTTGCCTGTGCCATAAAGGTTATGTCAGATTTCTAGTTTTATCTAGACCGCATCTAGCTGATTCTACTAATTTTCAAAGCTGTTACTTCTTAATTACTTCCTCCAATTCTCTTGTATTTTCTTCCATACATGGGCACATATACTAGTACATTCGCCACTACGGGCGATCAGAGTTGAAAGAACTATATATATATATATATATATAGTTCATACAAAAACTGCATCACTATACCTTATCATAAACATTATATATCGCAATAGTCGTCTGTCATAGCATGGGTAATGTTAATGCATTAAAAAGAACGTTTCGAAAAACTGGCTTCACATGTAGGTGGCCATTGTATCATGGATGGCACAAAAAATTATAAATGTACCTGTAAATGTAATCCTTGTGTATCCTATAAGTTTGTGACCTTAAAGGAGAGGGCGTGTCATTTTCCAAATGATGATTTTATCAATGAATGCATCAGCAAACGTTTTGCAGAATTCCAACATACGATGTCTGTTCTGTAAAACGATATCAGATATATCAGTATCACTAACCCATTCAGACCCTTCCAATATATTCCCTACACGCTATACGTATTTCATCTCACTTCAACGTGAACAATTTTGGCATAAATGCGGGGATAAGCATGCCAAGTCTGCCAACTGTTGCATATTAGATATTAAAGAACACATAACAAGACGCTTTTTTATTACCTAACTTTTGTAAGGCCTTGTCAGGACACATTGTATTTAGCAATGGGTGTGATGTATCCTGGGATTGAAGGTCATTGAATACAAATAAGAATGTATTTGGAATGATTTCTTGAGTACTGATGCTTTTTTGCTTGTAGCAATAGTTGGTACTTAATCGTACGCTGTGAAGACGTGGGGATTTTTTTTACATTACATTATTATCTTTTGGAAAATAACACCCTCCTCTCGACTTAAATGTTCCTTTGAAACTCTGCCGTGAAAGCTGTGTGTCTGACCATTGAGGCTAGTCCTCATCGTCCATACTAGGTTCGAACATAACATTCTCAAGATTCATCAGGACGGTTGTGCTTGTTGCCGCCATGCGAAAACGTTCACCTTTCATCCTTCTGTAGGGGGAAAAAAGTTGTAAAAGTTACAAGTACACAATAGATACTCGTACATGCTTGTCATAAATCGACTAGCATCCACATGACCCATGGTAATGTTTTGAAATGAGGTTGACATGCCATTGTGTAGATTCCACCAACATGATTCATATGATGTTCACTGCTCGCTAGCGCTGGGAAGCCAGCGTTTGCGAGCAACTACAAAGTGACTTACTCGCAAACCTTTTCCAAAGCTTAAGCCTTTACCCTGCCGCAGCGTACATAGCCTCAGCTCTCTACGGGTCGGCCTAGGAGTGGTCTGCCGGCCCAACTCCAACAGCACAGACATTTCTATTTTTCCATTTCCCCTTTCTATTTACTGCCGTCAGGTAGGTTAAATAACTGAAACCGACCCCGTAGAAACACAGGGCGTACTAGTGTGCATGTGTGGGCGGGTAACATTTCCAGCAGTGCAGCACTGTAGAGATACCGTGGTCTGGTTAACAGGCTACATACAACACATGCAATATATATACAACTGGATGCAGTATTTCACCTACCAGTTTCCTAAATCATCGAAGCAAAATAGTATTTTTTTACTCAATGACAAGCGGGCTGTAATGATATCCTAGAGTCTATAGAATACTATAGTATAGTATCCCAACGTCTGCCCACCTGGCAACTGTCACTCCTGCTGCAATCGCCACTGCTACGATAACCAACCCGACGATGGTCCCAATAATGGCCCCCTTAGAAACGGCTGGCCCTTCGGAAAGAGCGGGCTCTTTGGAGGGAACAGGCTCCTCGGAATTCGGAAGAATAGGCCCTTCGGAAAGAAAGTAAATAAAACCATGAGGTAGTGTGAGACCACAGCAGTGGTATGAGACCATATAAGGTGGCAAAATGATATAGCGAACAAAGATGGGGACAATGACAGCATTAACGAGAGAATACCAGCAAGTTAGGACACGGTCACATTTCCAAGCCGAGGCCCAGTCAGGTTGTTCACAACTTGAACCCAATTAACATATCCAAACCAGGTCAATGTCAAGTCATAATGAGGCGTACCTGTGGATCTGCATGCTTTGCCGTTGACGACCATGACATCAAACAGGTGGATTTGGCCTACTCTGCCAGCTGAGTTTGCAGAGTGATCTAGTTCAGCTGTGAAGACCACGCGAAAAGGCTGCTTCCTATGGAAATCCATCTGTACGCGATTCGTTTGTCCATGAGTCAGCTTGAATGGAATGGTTCCCAGCAGTTCAGAATCAGAGTTCGACTCGTTGTCAACGATGGAAAACGTATAGTGTGGCGGTGGGGACAACAGTAGACCCTTGCATTTCGTAGTGGAAAACCAGTGTGCTGTTGCTACAGTTGGTACTGAAGACGGGGGATTCCAGTACTGCCCTCCCCTCGTAACGAACGCCGGCATCAATCGAGCCCGAGACGAGGACGGATTCTATTGGACCAAAAGTAAGGATAATGGTTGAATAGGCAAAGATATGCGAACCGAAATGTACACAGTGATTCACATACATGTACCTGGAAAAGTACATGTAGTTAAAAAGATTTTTAGTAGAGATTCATTTTAATCTATAAGAACTTCAAGGTATCCGGCTATTAGGGAGATCAAATATATTGAAGTGGACAACTAAAAAGACAACCTGATGTATCCACTTGGCAGATGAATTTCCTCTTCTCCTGGCATGCCACGTCGTTCCACTTGTCCTTGTGGTACGGTAAGTATTCGACGCAATCCTCACCCGGTCCTCTCTTGGCGTCATTAGGTTCCCCGGGTCCCCAGTCTGTAAAGTTCCCCAGTTCTTGGCCATCCATCCACCTCCAGACGTTTTCGTCAAGGATGTCGTGAAGGCCGAACCGAAACGGAGATTTTTGATCGACCAACTTCTTCAGCCTGACCAGAAATTCATTAGTTTTCTGATCGCGAGGCATGGCGAGTGTTCCGCCGTCCTTAACACACCGAATGACAGACTGCTCGAAAGTGGCAGCAAAGTTGAACGCCTTGTAGCAGATGCCTTGGAATAGTTGATAATCTTCTGGACAATCTAATAGTGGAAAACAGAAAATCGGATATTTCAGTCCTTAGAGTTTGAACTGAGGAACTGTGCTGTATGATTATGGGGGGGGGGGGATATCTGATATAATTACTTGTACATCATAGAATGAGTTATTACTCATACGATAGACTTAGCCCCTATTCTAGCATGATTTAGGCTTCATACCCTAAATGCATAGTACACGTACATGTACATGTATCTGGCGACGTCATTACACATCCTACCACCCAGGGCATGCCGGGTAACAACCAATCAACTTGAAAACTTGGAAACCCAATCCTCTTCCACTCGATCACTTCCAACCCTTCCTTCTCATGAAGAAATACAAACAGTAGTGTCGCTCAAAACATTTGTTCCGTCCGGAGGTAAAGAGGTACAATTGTAGAATAGAAAATACTCGAATCATACACTATCTGTCCTCAAACTATCCATTCATAAATGTAGTTTATGAAACAACGTAAACGTGACACATAATCACGTCACTTATCAAACTCCATTTTAAAGTCCAAAGTTTGTAAAGAAATTGAAATAGAATAAACTTTACAAAAGGGCAAAAGTTATTGACTCCTGTCAAGGCACTTCCACAAACTATTGGAAAAGTATGGAACTATACATCTTTGTTATATTGAATTAATTACGTTCATTTGTTAAAGGCATGCTTGCATGCGGAATTAATTCTCGTGTTGCCTCGGTGACTGACCTGCTGTGTAGAAGAGCTCCAAGGTCGACTGCATTCCCAAGTCAGTTGGTTTGCCTATGAAATAGTTTGTTTTAAGTGGTGATAGGTTGTTGTTTTTTTCTCGATAGCAGCAAGATTCTCATGAAATCAACTTTCAACGTTTTTGGCGGAAGTAAGTATGGCATCACAAAAAAATTATGGACCTACAACCTGATTAAGACATGAAATTATTGAAAAATATTGCGTAAAAATGTCAACAGGGCAAGGGTTAACAGCACCACAAAAATACAATAAACCACACTCTACGTGTGAACTGGCATAACAGTGCGCCGAAGCCCCACCAAGGCATTGAATAATACTTATGCTAACCAGGTTGACTAATACTAATGCTAACCAGGTTGACTAATACTAATGCTAACCAGGTTGACTAATACTAATGCTAACCAGGTTGACTAATACTAATGCTAACCAGGTTGACTAATACTAATGCTAACCAGGTTGACCAATACTAATGCTAACCAGATTGACTAATACTAATGCTAACCAGGTTGACTAATACTAATGCTAACCTCTTGCAGTTGCGTTTTGCAATGCCGAGATTACATCTTTACATATTATACATGTATCTATGAATCGATCTATCTTAGAAGTTGTGTGACTTTCATACATTCATACCTTCTGATCGTCTGCAGGACGATTCACCACCAAAACCTGGAGATGTGCAAATGTGAAGAAATGAAACCCGTCCTTGATGATTGATGAAATTTAATCAAAAGTAATAGACAAAACTTTCAACATAAGGCCTCAATGACGTCACCGTGCGCATCAATTTTCGTCCGTTTTCAAAGGTTTGGCACCATTCTTTAGGTAATGGAAGAATGCCATAGAGATCAAAAGGAGGAAAATGCCTCAAAATGGGTCAAATTAAAACTTGTTTGCAATACCAAGTCTATCAAGACTAACAAAAATGTCAAAGAAAAAACTAGAATGATAAAAAAAAAAGAATGTATTGTTTGGCACACCATGCTCTGTGTGTCCAGTCATGTGTTTAACCTTCCTGAACGTTCAGGTTTTATAGTAAAGGCAATTGTTTTGCTTAACTTTTCTTTTTTGGGGGTACCCAGAGGGTGTCTTCCATATAATCAAATCAGTATGGCCTAAGTAAGAACGTCATGTGGGAAAAGTACCTATCTGACAAATGAAATACTTCTGCATTCCACATCCGTCGTCGTCCCATTTGAAACCCTTTGCCTTCCATAGATGCCCACAATCCTGGCCCCGCTCGTCCGCGCCCGCGTTGTTGTTTGGCTCTCCCGGTGCCCAGTTGGTGAAGACGCAATCGCTGACTGGAGTCCCATCAGACCAGGTCCACGTGTTCTCAACCTGCACGTGGGGATTAAGTTGCACGTAAAAGATATGACCTTTTATTAAGTTCCAGGTACGAAAGTATTGTTATGGGTGGCTGAACTGTGGGTTTACTAGTATAATAACATCAAGTCAAAAAGTGAGAGACAGGAAGTAGGATGAAATTGAGACTAGATTGATAGCAGGTGTGTGGAAGGGACTGATAGACAGCATGAAGAGAGGTTTGAAAAAGTCAGACACTAAAAATGGGATGAACTTGAAAGTCACAAAAAAAAACCAAATACGGAATTCTCACTTAGTGAGATAGCCTTAATTTCTTAGCCAGTGGCTGGTGCAGTCTTTCAGGTTCATTACATGCACTATTACACGTATCTACAAAATATAGAGGTCTAGATGTCGGAGTTTGTGTAGACATTAAAAACTACGCGCCACTTCAGCTATAGAAGAAAGAACAAGAAAAATGGCGCAATGTCTATCAAAATAAACAGCCATACATGTATGACACTTACCTTTAGATCATTGAGCCCGATCCAGTAGTCTCTGCTCGCGTCAACCTTCTGAATCTCGCTCAAAAGGAAGTCGCGCAACTCCTGTGTCTTGACATCGGCAAGATGACCTCCGTTTGAGAGACAGGTCTGTTTGGCAGCTTCGTACGTCTTGAGCTGAGCAAACACCTTGAAGTATACGTCGGTGTAGGGAATGTACCCGTGGGGTTCTAAGGAAGGGACAGCATATTGTAAGGAAGCCGAGATCCGTCAAAGTCACATGAGGTACAGTTGCGAGCACACAAACATTACCGAAAACACCGCCGTTCCGAGGAAGGATGTCTCCTTATAAATGAATAATTTCGTCTTTTAGCTTATTTCAACAACGCATTAGTTTTTATATCCAATGTTTCGGCAACCGTCTGTGACCTTCTTAAGGGCAATAATGATTCGTTACATTGATAAAACATACATACACATATACATACATACAAACGCGACCAGAACACAACATTCTTGGCGAAAGTATTACGACAGCACATGATGAAACAAACCAGTTGTATCCACTTGGCAGATGAATTTCTCCTTATAAAAACATGACACGTCGTTCCACTTGTTCGTTGTGCGTTTTTTCTGCGTCTGAGGCCAGTATTCGACGCAGTCTTCTCCCGACCCGCTGTTATTAGGTTCCTCGGGTGCCCAGTCTGTGAAGTCCCCCAGTTCTTGGCCATCCATCCACCTCCAGACGTTTTCCTCAGGGATGTCGTGAAGGCCGAACCGAAACGGCTTTCTCCGATCGACCGAGTTCTTCAGCCTGACCAGAAATTCATTAGTTTTCTGATCGCGAGGCATGGCGAGTGTTCCGCCGTCCTTGACACACCAGCTGATGGACTGATAGAAATCGGCAGCAAAGTTGAACGCCTTGTAGCAGATGCCTTGGAATAGTTGATAATCTTTCGGACAAGCTTTTGGGAGGGAGAGAGAGGGAAAGCACAATAGTTAGCGGCCACTGACACTGATTGTGGAAGTCATGATTAGACTACCTACACCGTTTAAGATTAACTAAGATATATCTGTATTCTATAAGATGAAGTAGTCGTAAAGGTGCTACCTCCGGGTACAGAGGTATTGTCCTAGCTGGATGTGCTCGTCTGTGGTGGCGGTGATTGTGGTGTGTTGTATGTTTGTTTGTGTGTTGGTAGGTATTTGAATGCAATAGATAGAGTGTCAGGAAACTTAATGTGAAACTAACAGGCTGGGAAGAAGTGACTCCACACAGTCACTGGGTGTATAACTACTTAAGGCATGCCAGAACAAACTATCGCTCTTGTTGGAAGTAAATCAGATGCCATGTCTTTGGTTGTTCAACAAATTCACAAAAATAGTTCTAAATACTTTCCGGAGGCTTGTTGTTGTGGCCTTTTGTAGATTCCTGGTGGTAGATTCCACATTAAACTACACCAGTTCATCATAGAAATATATAATTATGACAATGATTATGCTCGCCCAGGTGACGATATAACTGAGGTACCGGTTACCTGGAGATCCTTGTGATGTTGATGTTTCAATCTGCTCGGTCACGGATGACACCATAGATGAGCGGGGACGTTCTACTGGAAAAGAAATAATTTGGGCTTTGCTTGAAGTTCTGCCAATGCTCATCGCTAGAAATAGAATACAGTCTCCTAGCTGCCGCTGTATAATATCTCAACAGTTTCACGACCTCATATCCTCGCCAATCATGTTCAACCTTTACGACTGACGCAGTATAAATGTTTCTCATTGACTATGCAAACAAGGCCCTCATTTGCATAAATCATATCAATTGATCGTCTTCATCTCTCAAATAACTGGAGTCGGCCACTGGCAGTCTATTTTTAACAAAGAAGGCCATTCTAGCATTTTCTCATCAATCGTTCAAATGAGGTTCTGATTTGCATGTTATATGTGTGTATGTGTATATGTATGTGGCTTAGCACGATAACTCAAGAAGCTTTATATGTATTGTCATGAAACTAATTAGGTGGATAGTTAAGACCTATAAATGATTAGATTTTTGGCCCCCTGGTAGCTTGTTGTGGTACTGCAACAGAACTTCCGGTTATGATATTTCGTAATCTGAAGGGTCATGAAGCTTGGCTGGTGAATAGCTCTTTTGCTTAGGTAAAAGTGACATTAGTTTGAACCCCCTAGCTGCTTGTTCTGAAACTGTAGGGGCGTTCTTGAACATTTTCGAGGGAGGATAACTCAAGTCAAGAACCGGTAGACGGATTGTCGTGATTGTTTGTATGTAGATAGGTGAGGTGATGCTTAAGCTTGACACGTCTAAATGACAATTACTAGTATACAAATCAGAAGCTAATTTGCACAATCAATGAGGACTTTTACAGATCCGTTAATTTCGATAATAGGACTATGAAACTCTTGTGACATGTAATTGAGAACAAGAGGAACATATGCAGATATTGATTATGTAAATGAAGACGTAATTTGCATAATAAATGGGAAATTGTTGCAATTTCATAATAATAACTGCCAAGAATCTGATACTTGTCACATTTGGCAGTTAAGTGAACGTGAAAATCATTGAACATGATTATTCTTTATTATTATAACTTGAGAAGGCCTTGATGGATTGTCTTGATACTTGGTAGGTGGATAGGTCTTGATGAGACCTAAAAATGATTAGATTTTGGACCCCCTAGCGGCTTGTTATGGTACTGCAGCTTAACCTCCGGTTTTGATATGATCTAGACATGCTAGGGTGACGAAATTTGGATGGTAGGTAGCTCTTGTGCTGGGCAAGAAGTTGCTCTGGAACTGCAGGGCTATATGTTTGAAAATATTCAAAAGAGAATAACTCAAGAACTCGTTGACGGATCGTCGTGATTTTTGGTACATAGGTAGCATACGTGATGGTTGATGTAATTATATAACAATTATGCAAATATGAATGTAATTTGCATAATTAAGGGAGGAATTATATAAATCAGCTGCATTCCATGATAGGACTATTGAAGCTTGTGACATTGGTAATTGAGAACGAGAGAAACACGGGGAACTCTAGTATATATGTATATATGCTAATTATATCAATGTCATGTGCTTAACCAGTCACAATTTCTGCAAGCATATATCACAGGTTACTTTCATCATACCTACTTCTTGGCATGTTTCCTTGAATTATTTAAACTATACGTACAGTTTCACCAATTTTTAGTATTATTTTAGTTCCAAATTGCATACATTGGGGGAAAAAAGCAGTATGAAATTCTGTGCAGATTGACGAATATGACAGGGCCTTTCCTTGGTGCTGAAAAGCTTGTCTAAGACACATTCCCCTACATGTGCAGGTCCTGTAAAGCTGTAAAGAACACCATATATTAACTAGAGGTCGGAGATCTCATGTCTTCGTCAGAGGTACATTGTTCTAGAGAAATGAACATGTGTATTCTTTACTCTTTACCTTCGCCAAGAAGGTTATGTTTTCAGGGGCGTTCGTGTATGTGTGTGTGTGTGTGTGTGTGTGTGTGTGTGTGTCTGTC